GTTAATCTTTTTCACGTTTCCTTGGTTGGTAGATGCACCGGAGACATGATTATAGGACTTAAAAAAGTTGAAAAGCTGAAGAGTGTGACGTCACGTGTGTTCTCAGAATCAGGATCTCAGCTGCGTGGTCTGCCGCATCGTCTCGAGCTCAGACGAGTTTGATCCGCCGGTTCTCCCGCCGCGGCCCGAGCTGACGGTGACCCTGAGGGGCCAGTGGGCTTCCCGCCGCTGCGAGGTCCGGCCCGAGGTCCTGTTCCTCACGCGACACTTCATCTTCCACGAGGACAACCACACCTGGGAGGGACACTACTATCACTACTCTGACCCGGCCTGCAGACACCCCACCTTCAGCCTGTTCGCCCGCGGACGCTACAGCCGCGGCCTGCGCTCCACACGCGTCATGGGCGGCACTGAGTTTGTGTTCAGAGGTCAGAGTTCAACTCATTTAACAGAAAAACTCCTTACAAACACGGCTTGGGGTTTTTATTGTGGTGCACTACACTTTATATATATATATATATATTTGTATCACTATGCAACTAACTAACCAATTAATTAAAATAAATAAAAGTCTCAAATTGTAATGTTCTAAACATAAAAAAATCTAAAGTTTATATATTTATAAATATTGTATTTATAGAACTATTTATATATATTTCTCTGCAAAAATAATTGTGTATATCACAATGCAAAAAAATTAATAAAAATAAAATAATAATAACTAATATATTTATGTTTATGTATATATATATATAAATTAGTAAATGATTATAAATAAATAAATACCAATCTTAAATCGTACTGGTTCTAAACATAGAAACATACATACATCTTATTTATTCAGCTTTCAGATGATGCATACATCTCAATTTCGCAAAATTGACTGGTTTTGTGCTCCAGGGTCACATTTTAGCCTTTTATCGTTAACTGAAACCATTAAAACATTTCTGTTCATTGAAATAAAGCTCAAATAAAACATAAATAATGGACAAATTTTTTTAGCTAGTTGCCAAAATTCTAAATTTATTTACTTGAAGCACTAAAATTACTAACCGTAACTAATAATTAAAGATTAAAACCGAAATGTAACAAACTAAAAGTTAATTAAACCTAATATTTAAAAAAAATATTTTGATAGATTACAGAAAGTACCGAAATTGCTAACTTAACAATAAATATTAAAACTAAAATAAACCTAAATAATAATTATATTAAAACAAATAATAATCAAAGTCAAAAGCACTAACTGTACATAAATTAAAAATAAAACCAAAGTAAAAATAAAAAAATAAACGGTAACACTTTACAATAAGGTTCCTTTAGTTACTGTATTAACAATACATTTATTACAGTATTTATTCATCTTTGTTAATGTTAGTTAATGAAAATACAGTCACGGTGCATTAACTAATGTTAACAAGCACAACTTTTGTTTTTAATAATGCATTAGTAAATGTTGAAATTAACATTAACCTGATTAATAAATGCTGTAGTGTTGTTCATGTTAACTAAAGTAGTTAACTAATGTACCTTATTGTAAAGTGTTAAAAAATAATAATAAAAAAACTAATAAAAATTACAAGACAAATAACAAAATGATTAAATATTTAAATAAAATCATGAAAACTTAAAGCACTAGGATTACTAAGTCTACATGAATAAACACTTAACATAATAAAATTACTAATAAATTAAAAAGCATTACAAACTGGACAGAAAAAAAAAACTAAAACTAAAGCTAAAAATAAATTAGACCTAAAAAAAAAAAACATAAAATTGACAAAGGCACATAAAACTAATAAAAATTAAAAAGCAAAACTGAAAGCACCGAAGCACTAAAATTGGGCATAAATACAAACTAAAACCAAGCTAAAAATACAAATAAATTAATTCTAAATAATAGTGTAAACTATTATTAAAAAAAATATTATTAAACTATTATTAAAAAAAATTAAAAAGTAACCAAATTTTAAATGAAACGCACAGAGCGAAATAATAATAATACTAAAATGACACTGGCACTGATGAATCAGTCACAATAAGTTAAAAAAGAATGAATACGTTTATATTATTTACAATTATAAAGCGGATAGTTCCGGTCCTTGATTCTGATTGGCTGAGCTTCGTTCAAAGCTGTTGTAAATGACTCTACAAAGTAACACACACCTTTGTTTACGTTTGTGTGTTGCTCGGCAAACACTTTGTTGCAACCACAACAGATTCTGAGGAACTACATTGTTTGGTGGAAGAATACTGTTTTTATTAATATCATTACACTTTATTTGCTCTGTTTTATTTTGTGAAACCTTACTACGTATATGGAATGACCATTTAATAAAAGCAATAAGCCCCGTGAAGCCGTGGTTTACAGTGAATTTAGTCATTTAGCAGACGCTTTTATCCAAAGCGACTTACAAATGAGGACAATAGAAGCAATCAGAATCAACAAAAGAGCAACAATACAAGTCTCAGTTAGCTTAACGCAGTACATGTAGCAAGGGTTTTTAAAATAATATAATAAATAAAAAGAAAACCAATAGAATAGAAAAAGATTAGAAAGCAAGTGTTAGTTTTTTTTAAAGAAAGCAAGCAGCAAATGAATAGAGAGCAAGTCTAAAAGGGACAAGTGTTTTTTTTTTATTTTTGTTAAGAATAGAATTAGAATAGAATTAGAATAGAGAGTGCTAGAGTTCGAGTGTCAAATAAAGATGGAAGAGATGTGTTTTTAGCCGATTCTTGAAGATGGTTCAAAAAAAAGTTTTTTAGTTTAAAAAGTTTTAATTGAAAAATTTAATTTATTAAGTCATTTTAATTTAAAGTAATTTAATTAATTAGTTTAAATAATTTAACATTTAATGTAAACATTTACAGTGAATTTATAACAGCTAAGGGGCGTTGTTATTGCTTTATTACTCACTGAGTAGACGCTTTTATCCAATCGGACGTCAGTAAAGCGTAAGTGAATGATTGGCTCTGGCTGTACCTTGAGCCGGCGGTTCTCATCGTTCAGCTTGCTGGCCTCCGTCTGCAAGCGTCTGCACTCCTCCAGGATCTTCTTCATCTCAGAGTCGTCCAGAGCCGCGCTGACGGGTTTCACCGACACCGACCCGTCCGCTTTGGAGGAGTTCAGAACCGCCGCTGATTTAGAAGCGGAGTCAACGTCGTTCTGAACAGCACGAGAAAAACAACACTTAAAGGGATAGTTCAACCAGAAATGAAAATGTGATGTTTATCTGCGTACCCCCAGAGCATCCAAGATGTAGGTGACTTTGTTTCTTCAGTAGAACACAAACGGAGATTTTTAACTCAAACCGTTGCAGTCTGTCAGTCATATAATGGAAGTGGATGGGAATCACGGCTTTGAGAGTAAAAAAAACATACACAAATAAAACTAAATTAAACCCTGCGGCTCGTGACGATACATTGGTGTGTAAAGAGACGAAACGATCGGTCTGTGCAAGAAACTGAACAGTATTTATATCGTGTTTTACCTCTGATTTACTGCAATGTCCGAACTGTCCTGAGCGCGTTCACAACAGCCAGCGCGTTCGCATCTTCTTCTTCTTCTTGCTTCACGGCGGATCGCACACTTATAACTGCATTACTGCCACCTATCTCTCAAATGGACCA